GAATTTTCACATACAGAAGCGAATGCAAGAATTCCCCTCTGCACGGTTGAATTCACAACCATAGGGATAGGCATTACCATAATGTATACAACAACCTATCTCTTTTCCTATATATATCGTTATTTTGACCAATTAATTCTTGAGGAATGTATTTCCCGGACAATTTTTCTCTTTTAAGAACTGAATAAGAGATAGTAAGATGGAATTAGATCATTTATTTTTCTTTTACAATAAAATAAAATCAGAAAAATGTGTTTATCAGGATAGAAAATCACGAAGGGAAACGCTGAGCGAAAATATTTCATTTTACTACAATAAACGATTTGACGAAACTGCAAAACTTTTTTAAACAATTTAAATAGAAACTGATAATAAAATTATCAAAAGATCATTTCGTTCACTCTGCATTATGCAGCTGCCAACCAGCTCGAAAGCGTTTGCGGCGGAGCTTTACCCTGAAGTATTGCAGAGGGAAAACAATTTTTCTTCATAAAAATTGGAATCAAATATTATATCATCTAATGTGTTTACTTTCTCTTAGATATAATCTTAGATATTTTCATTGTAGTGATTGCTCTTTCTATTGATAAGTATGGAAATAATCGTTTTAAGGGATATTGTAATGAAGTGTGAGACATGAAATTTAACATCTCAAACTATTCAACACTAAGCTGTATGTGACAAATTGATGCTTGCAATATTTTCTAACACTTAGAAAATTTCAAAGGAATTCTCTACAAGTAAGACAGAAAAGAATCAAAAATATAACTAAAGCTAGGCAAAATAAAATTCTTACTGAAACGTCAGCTCGACCATTTTTGGTAATAACGTTACCGTTCGCCTTAATCACAACAAGCATAGGAATCCCAGAAATTTCGTACTTCTCTTTCAGCTCCCTCAAAATGAAGAAATGATAAAAGAGGAAACAAATAGCCAAAACATTATGCTCTCATATAAATCTTAGATCCAGACAGCTTGAAACGGCTAAGTCGGATAGACTTCTGTTTAACAAAAAAAACTCTGGAAGTGGATAAAAATGTAATATAGATTATTATATGTATTAGAGTGAGTTGGCTATTATTAAGCGAAAAACAAACTCAATTTCGTCGGAACCGAAAGGAACGTGATACCAATCGCCATGTGATTCTTTTAGATAGTCATTCAAATCCTCCTCCGAATGATCTAATGAAACAAACACTATTTCAAATTGATCATCGTCTACTTCTTCGTAAAAATCCTGAATGTATCAAAGACACAATCATTATCTCCATTTTTGAAAATTAAATTAGATCTTGAAATTTAGTAGGAGGAAATTTGAAATTTTATCTAAAAATCAGTTAATCACTTTCCAGTGCAATAACTTTGATTTTTAGAATGTCTTAGATTGGTACAGAAGTGACAGCAATTTTTGTACTGTTGACCCATCTCAGAATGCTTAAATAAATGTTGAAAAATTACATATTTTAATGCAGCATTGGAAGATGGACAAACAAAGTTTCATCTCGCCCATTTATTTGACGGAACTTATTCGATATAACTAATTTTTCATTCAGGAAAAGTGTTAAACTTTTGAAAATTTTCCAAAAAAATATGATTAGAAAGCCTGGTCATCCCTCTTTTAATAAAGAGTGTGTGTTTCATGACTCCTAAAATCCTGTCAATTTTGCAACAATCTACTACGACTTTGAAAATTAGAAGCTCGAAAATCACTTTCAGAACCGGCGTAAATTGTCGGCATGGTGGACACCAATGTGCTGAGAAATATAATGCTATAACTTTCTTGTTCTGAAATGACGATATTCTGAGAATAAACTTGTGCAACACAATTCAAAGAAAAAAGGTTCTCTTGCTGGCAAAAAAGGATAATTCGATGAAGCTAATTTTCCATTTCCATATATTTCTACAAACTTTAAAGCCCCACAAATTTCAAAAAATTGTTTCAAAATGAATCGTCAGGAAGCTTACAGCCAGCGCTTCTCTTCCTTTCTTTACAGTACCATCAGCTTTCTTCAAAGTGATATTAGCAAATAAATCAGCCATTTCTGAGTTTTACAGAAGATCTAAAAAGAAATGTTAGCTCCACTTCTTGCAGTATGCAATATAAATTGAATAAAGTTAAATAAAATCAACCAGCCTTAAACTTCTTTTTTGCCCTCCGATTTTCATTTTCAGCGGTAAATTTTTAATGCGATTAAATTTGGGTTTGGACAATACCATGTTTGGTAAACTATTATAACGATATAAAACTAAGTAATGATTTTCAAATTGACGATAACATGCGGAATTTTCCGCTTGTTTTGCATTTCCCTGAAACCTTCGCACTGCAACTTCATTTATATATGTAATATAATCCAAGAAAGTTATCATCCTATAGTTCTATATAGTTCTACTTTTGGTTTTTGGACTCTCTCGAAGAAGCCACATTTATCGACCGGGATCGCCTTTCCTGAATTATGCTCTCTACCGGTTATCAGTTAAAGAGAGCAGCCTATTAAAACTTCCAAGCTATCCTAAAGGTTAATTTCGTACATCAATATATATTACTTTTATCAAACAATATTTATTTAAGTGAAGAATGAAAAGTATAAGTAATCTGAAATATGAAGATTGTGCCTAAATCATGCAATCATCTAAGAAATAATGAATAATAAATACTTGAGAGAAACAACCCATTTGCTTTATATATCTTAAAATAAATGGTTGTTAGGTTTGTTGTTAACTTAGTCAACTGATTATCAATTACTTAATTATCTATAAAAATTATAAATAAAACAAAAAATTTAATATTAGAAAGTGCAAAATGCTAATGCAACATGTGAGCTGTCACAAATGAGATACATAACATATCATTATGACACAAGTCGATAAATAGAAAAATGAATTGAAGAGGGTGTTTAAACACCAAGAGAGTGATATGGAGTGAGCGCACAGCGGTGAATGAGAAGTTAATTGATTATTTAATTATGCCACCACCGAAGAAAGCAAGCAGGAATGCATACCTCTATCACAGAGATATATCGTCGGAATGTGCATGTTGCTCAGGGATATTTTACTAACACTGATAAAACGAGTTGAAAGAAAATGGGGGAGAAGTTAGCTGCCATCTTGGAGATATGTTGCAAAGTTTTGTTCGGCAATATCTCATTACTTTCACTTATTACGGAAGCGAATTGCTGTCATTAAGACACGTCACTGAGGTGTTATTCAGAAACGTTGCATACATGAAACAGCAAGGAGAAAAATAGAAGCATGGAATAATTTAACAAAATTTGCAAGATATTTTAATAGCTGATATTTTAATTTCACAGCTTACAGTCCCACACGAGGAACAACTATGACTCCACAAAATTGGGAATATAAAATTGAAAAAACAACAAAGAAAACTTAAAATGGCTGACTAATACAAACTATGATCTCTTTCATCCTAAAATTTGGAGAAAATTTCTAAGACGAGTCAATCTCATTGATATTAGTTTATGCCATGTTCCCACTTTCTGAGGACCGACATTGATAAATGCAAAAATTCCTATAAAACTACCTTTTTAAAGCGAACCCTTCTTTATGAAGTATATTGTTGCAATAGAACTGATACAAATTCCCTTAAAGCAAATCCTTCTTTCGAAGTATGCAATGAATTCCAACTATGATAACAATATGCCGAATTTTCCGAAACATTTTATTGACAAATTTTACACTTATAGATTGATATACACAATACAATTGAATGAAAAGTTAAGTGAGGCGCTGTGCGTAGCATAGCATACATAATTGACATCGTATAACGGAAAAATATATTATACAGTGTTCCAACGCTATTTTTTTTAACTACCTATAAAAATTGCGAGTACTGCGAGAAATTGCGAGTATTGCGTACAAATTAGTTTATTTCTTAAGAATTAAAGATGGTAGAAGTAGTGTAGCTACGAAATAATGCTATGAAACAATTAAATTCATAGCTACGAAATTTCTGCTTTAGTTAAAGGATTGTAGATGTCGAAATAATTCACACGCTTTCTTCCGAAAAGATTTCATTCTGTTGCCTATATTCTTGACATATCACTCTTTTGCACAATGTACAAGCGCTCAGCAAATACTGAAATGGAGTTAAACATTAAGAATATAATGAATTTAATATGATGAAATCGCTATTCTAATACCTTTTAAATAGTTATGCCGTTTGCTATTGCATAGAGCATGAGCAGATTTTTAGACAGCGCTCCGAAACGGCACAAGATTAAAAAGCCTGTATTCATGTGAAATCATTTCGGTATTGCGCACTTTTTTATGATTTATGAAAATTAGATCTATCAAAAACTTACATCAGTGCTTTATTATATAACCCTCCCCACAGACTTTCAAATAAAGCGCATGATAACTTGTACCGTTAACTACCTTATTGTTTTCATACGAATAGAATATTGAAATTGGTGAATAAAATGGATATAAATTAAAGATGAAGAATTAAAAAATTTAATCAAAAGACAAAGCAAATAATTTTACTTGTATCATTACTCATAAAATACAGCTTTCATCGATGTATGCAATGACAAAAAAAGATTCTTTTCGTAACTCTCCTGCAAACACATTTTTTTTCGAAAATGTCATAATAATAGTACAACTTGCAATGATAATGTGGTCTTGCTCTAACTTCAATATGCCACTCAGAGAACTCAACAATAGAAAATCCAACCCTAGCCAAGCCATTGAAAATAGCAATGTAGACTAATAGCTCTTTATTTTTCCCATTCCTTGTCCTGCCCTATTCTTTCTTAACTTTTTCATAAAAGTCATAATGACAGAAAACATACACCGACAATTTGCATAGATCCTATTTGCCTAGGAATAAAAGAGACGTTTAGGCTGCGAAAATTAAACAATCGATTTTTTAACAAGAAAATAAGCGTAATATTTTCTATCTCTGCTTAGTAAAGTTGCCGATGACAGTACCATTAATGCTACTAACACTTAAATGCCTAATTAAAGCCTTGAATAATTTATCATTATACTCCGACATTTTTATATTCGCAGATATATTGAGAAATGAGCTCATCATTACTTAATGCGTCCATATTCGTATTACCAGCATCACTACTCGTCGACTTACATGGCGCCCACTAAATTTTTTACATTTACTTCTAGCTGCTGAAAATGCACTTCTATTTCTCCCTACACGTATATTTGGCACATTTGACAATTGAAAAAGAATATCTTACTGTCTAATTGAGGAATCAACAACTGGAAGATACGTGCAATAAAAATTAGCACGACTGGGTTTTTGCGATTAACTAACTCCACGACAAGAGGAAAGGAAACGAAATTTGAAGTGTTATGCACGATAAAAAGGAACATACACAATTCTTGATGATGGTCTTCATTATCAGTATCAAATCCAGCATTCTGTGCTGCATGGAAAAACCGTCTCCGCTAGTTCCCGGATCCATCTCATCTCGCATCATTCTCGTTTCACCGTATCCATAAAGAGTGGCTACTTGCTTCCCGTAACCACATACTTCGTAACCGCACGAGTTAAACTGTAAAATCAAAAATATACATTTCAAAAAGAATCTTATAGAAAACCTATCACAGCGCTCTTTCCAAAAATTTGTTAAACAATAAGCTTAGAGGACAGTTTTTCACAATAATGATGGTGACCTCGCAAGGATGCCCACCGAATTAATCACATCTCACCACTTTATCCCAAACGTCCTCTCTCCTTCATAGAGCGCTAATATAATCCTTGCAACGCCGACCATTCGTCTCGATCTGAAATTTGCTGTCTCATACTAATCAATATATGCATTTTTGCACGTAACACGTATATTATAAATTTGAAAATGAGATTTGGTATATTTTGATAGAATAAAATGCATACAATATATTTGAGAAAGACATAATAATATTTTTATCTATTCTAATCAGGGATACGCGAAAAGACAGAAATGTAGAGGAATGAGTAACATAGGCAACATTTTTATACTTAAATTAAGTTTTTATAAATAATCTGTCGGTTTGAGCATAAAGAAAACCTTTTCAAACAAGAACTTGTTTTCTCTGGATAGATTGCAACGTCTGTTAAAAGATACCATTACTCTTTAAAAGGTAGGGTACCATTTACTAAAAGGTACCCCGCTACTAAGTCCACCCATGTAAATACATAGGTGATTATTATCAGAACCAAAACATTGCTCTTTTGGCATATTTAAATTTGAATAACTATGTAAAAGAAGCACATGGCGATTGGTATCACGTTTCTTTCGGTTCCAGCGAAAATGAAGTATAAACGACCATCCTTCTCCCCTTGCTGTTCTGAAGAAAACCGAGAATATCATTCAATTAATCCGCCATTGACCAACCAACCATTTTGGACTTAGGCCTAATTTACTACACTTCCACCATAATTTTGCTCTAATTTATGATGGAGCCTTTTAACATATTTCTATGTTCATTTGTTCTTAGCATCCGCATTACTTTCATTGTTCATAAAAAGTACGGTATTTGTTCGGTTCTTTCACAGAGATATTAACTGTAGATTATAGCTTTCGTATGCTAAAGCAAATTACGGGACCTTTATTTGGTAATCAAAATGGTTATTTCCACCTCTATAACATACTTGATATAGCACTAAATTGAATCTAAATAGCCGAAAAGAAATACCTAAATCGCATTATTGTTTTTTCTTTGTACAATTTTGAAAATGGCCAGACGTTCGTGGCTAGATATTTCTTCATCGAGGTTCTATTTGAAATCTGTTCGTGTTCAATCATCGCTTCGAAAACTGTCAATATTTACGCATGAAAAATATGTGCTACAACACCTAACAGGTATGTTACATAAAGAGAGTGAGAATTGTATCAATCAATACGACAAAGCATTCTTCAACTTTTCTAATCATTCAAAACGATTGAGACAATTTCACTTTATATGGGGATGAACTGTAAATCTCAGCATGTCACTCACTGAGAGCTACTTCAAATACCGTGGCTTACATATATTGAAAGATTCTTTTGGACGCAGTCCGAGCCTATATTTCTCCAATGCTATACCAATGACCAAAATTTATTGGCAATCTTGACTTCATTATAATTCATTATAATTATAATTATAATCATTATAATCTTCATTATATTTGAAGTTAAATCTTCATTATAATCATTTGTAGTTTTCCGCCCGTTGTTCGACACATATTCCACGTTTAACATGAAACTTTTAGCATGATTGCTTAATATCATTTATTGCAGAATCCCTCACCTATGGCATTTCCATAACGATGCGCCACTCTACGATTGCGCGTCTTTCAATTTCTATAAAAATTAGTTGTTGTTACCTTTGTTGATTCAATCTTCGATTTTTGAACATTTATTGTCGTCATTTCATGATTGTGTCTATTCTGACTGTCAACAAATACGAAATACTTCTACGGGTTTTCACATACAGAAGTGCAGGCAAGAATTCACCTCTGCACGGTTGAATTCATAACCATAAGAATAGGCATTACTATAACGCTTTCAACAACTCGGACAATTTTTACTCTTTTAAAAGCTGAATAAGATATGGCAAGATAGAATCGGATTATTTATTATTTCTGCAATAAAATGAAATTAGAAAAATGTATTTATCAGGATCGAAAATGTATTACAAAGGGAGCGTTGAACGAAAATTTTTCATTTTACTACAATAAACGATTTGACGAAACTGCAAAAATTTTTTAAATAATTTAAATAGAAACTGATAATAAAATTATCAGTGAATCATTTTATTAATTCTGCATCATGCAGCTGCTAACCAACTCGAAAGCGTTTGTAGCGGAGCTTTACCCTGAAGAAGGAAAACAATTTTTTGTCATAAAAATTAGTTGTCAAATATCACCTGATGTGTTTACTTTCTACCAATGACATTTTGTTTGCCATTGACTGCTCTCTCTACTGATAAGTATGAAAATAATCGTTTTAAAAAACGATGTAATGGAGTGTGAGAAATGAAATTTAATATCTTAAACTATTTCCAACACTAAGCTGTATGTGACAAATTGCTGTTTGCAATATTTTCTAGCACTTAAAAAATTTCAATGGAATTCTCTATAAGTAAGAAGAGAATCAAAAAAATATAACCTAAAATTAGCCAAAAATAAAATTCTTACCAAAACGTCAGCTCGACCATTTTTGGTGATAACGTTACCGTCCGCTTTAATTACAACGAGCATAGGAATCCCAGGAACTTCGTACTTATTTCTCAGTGTCCTCAAAATGGAAGAGTGACAATGGAGGAAATAATTAGCCAAAAAATTATGCTTATATATAAATCTCAGATCCTGGCAGCATGAAATGGCTAAGTTAAATAGACTTCTGTTTGACAAAAAAACTTTGAAGCACTTTTTCAAAGTAAGCAATTCTATGTCCAATTTCCTATCCCTTCCTATTATTGTATTTGAATGAATTGGCTATTATTAAGCGAAAAACAAACTCAATTTCATCGGAACCGAAAGGAATGTGATACCAATCGCCATGTGATTCTTTTAGATGGTCATTTAAGTCCTCCTCCGAATGATCTAATGAGAGAAATACTATTTCAAATTGATCATCGTCTACTTCTTCATAAAATCTCTAAATGTATTAAAGCACAATTAATATCTGCACTTTTGAAAATTAAATTTTAAAATTCAGTAGGAGCAGATTTGAAATTTTATTTAAAAATCAGCTAATCACATTTTAGTGTAGTAACTTTAATTTTTAGAATGTATCAGATTGGTATAAAAGTGGCAGCAATTTTTGTATTGTTAAACTTTACCGTCTCATTTCAGGATATTTAAATAAACGTTGCAAAATATCGTAGTGCAGCATTAGAAAATGGACAAATGAGGCCGTAAAGTTTTATCTTGCCCATTTATTTAACTTCTTATCAACCACCTATTATTTCTTCCACTATTCCACAGGAAAAATGCTTGCGAAAAGGTAAGATTCCGGAAGTCATTCGATGTGAACTAATTTTTCATTCAGGAAAAATGCTAATAAATTTTTGAAAGTTTTCCAAAAAAATACGGTTATTTGAAAGTGTGATCATTATTCTTTAATAAAGATGTATGTTTCAGGATCCCTAAAGTCCTGTCAATTTTACAACAATCTACTATGACTTTGAAAATTGGAAGCTCGAAAATCACTTTTAGAAACGGCGTAAATTGTCTGCATGGTGGGCACCAATGTGCTGCGAAATATAATGCTATAACTTTCTTATCCTGAAATGACGATATTCTTAGAATGAATTTGTGAAAGACAATCCAAAGAAAAAAGATTTCTTCCATAATTCGACGAAGCTAATTTTCCATTTCCATATATTTCTACAAACTTTAGAGTCTCACAAATTTCTAAAAATTATTTCAAAATGAATCGTCAGAAAGCTTACAGCCAGTGCTTCAATTCCTTTCTTTACAGTACCATCAGCTTTTTTCAAATCGATATTAGCAAATAAATCAACCATTTCTGAGCTTTACAAAAGATCTAAAGAGAAATATTAGTTCAACTTCTTGCAGCATGAGCATATATTGAGTAATGTTAAATAAAATTAACCAGTTCTAAACTTTTTCTTTACCTTTCGATACCTATACGGTGAACTTTTAATGCTATTAAACTGTTCGGACAATACCACGTTTGGTAAAGCTTCCGATGCTCATTTTCAACTGTAAATTTTTAATGTGATAAAATTGTTCGGACAATACTATATTTGAAAAATCCTTATGATGATATAAAATTAAGTGATGATCTTCAAATTGACGGTAACATGCGGAAATTTCCGCTTGTTTTGCATTTCCGTGAAACCTTCGCAGTCCAATTTTATCCATATTTATGACATAATCCAAAAAACATTTACAGTTTTCATCCAATGATTCCATATAGTTCTACTTTGATTTTCGGACTCTTTCGACGAAGTCACATTTATCGACCGAATAGTCCTTTCTGAATTATCTCTGCTCTCTACCGGTTATTAGTTAAAGAGAGAAGCAATTAAAACTTCCCAGCAATCCTAAAGGTTAATTTAGTAGATCAGTATATATTATTTTTATCGAACGACATTTATTTAGATAGAAAATGAAAAGTAATCTGAAGATTATGTCTAAAACCATCGCTTGGGAGAAATAGCCTGTTTACTTTATATACCTTAATATAAATAATTGTTAGGTTTGTTGTTAATTTAGTCAGCTGATTATTCAATCATCCGATCGTCTAAGATAATAACAAATAAAACAAAAAAGGAAAATGCTGATGCAACATGAAAGGCTGTCATAAATCAAATATGTAACATATTTCCATGACACAAGTCGACAGATAGAAAAATGAATCCCAAACAGTGTTTAAATATCGGAAACAGGTGAGTAAACAATAATTAAAAATATTAATTATATTAATTAATTATCCATCGAAGAAACCAAACGGGAATGCATACTTCTATCATAGACACATGTGGTCGGAGTTGTATGTTGATAGAGGACATCCTATTATCCCGTCTAAAACGAGTAGAAAAAGAGTGGAGGAGGAATAAGCTGCTGCTGTCTTGGAGATATGTCGCAAAGTTTTGTTTGGCAATATTTCATTACTTTCACTTATTACGGAAGCGAATTGCTGTCATTAAGACACGTCACTGAGGTGTTATTCAAAAACGTTGCATACATGAAATAGCAAGAAGAAAGAAAAATAGAAGCATGGAGTAATTTAACAAAATTTGCAAGATATTTTAATAGTCACAGCTTACAGTCCCACACGAGGAACAACTCTGACTCCACAAAATTGGGAATATAAAATTGAAAAAATAACAAAGAAAACTTAAAATGGCTGACTAATATAAACTATGATCTCTTTCATCCTAAAATTTGGAGAAAATTTCTAAGACGAGTCAATCTCATTGATATTAGTTTATGCCATGTTCCCACTTTCTGAGGACTGACATTAATACATGCAAAAATTCCTATAAAACTACCGTTTAAAGTGAACCCTTCTTTATGAAGTATATTGTTGCAATAGAACGGATATAAATTCCCTTAAAGCAAATCCTTCTTTCGAAGTATGCAATGAATTTCAACTATGATAAAAACATGCCGAATTTTTCGAAGCATTTTATTGACAAATTTTACACTTACAATTTTACACTTGATATACACAATACAATTGAATGAAAAGTTAAGTAAGACGCTGTGCGTAGCATAGCATACATAATTGATATCGTATAACGGAAAAATATATCATACAATATTCCAACGCTATTTTTTTAGCTACCTGTAAAAATTGCGAGCATTGAGTACACCTTAGTTTATTTCTTACGTTTATTTCTTCAATCCGCCATCGACTAATCAACCATTTTGGACTTAGGCTTAATTCACTTCACTTCCACTATGATTTTGCTCTAATTTATGATGGAGCCTTTTAACATATTTCAATGTTTTAGATTTGTTTTTAGCATACGCATTACTTTCATTGATCATAAAAAGTACAGTACTTGTTCGGTTCTTTCACAGAGATATTAGCTGTAGATTATAGCTTTCCATATGCCAAAGCAAATTACGGGACTTTTATTTGGTAATCAAAATGGCTATTTCCCACCTCCATAACATACTTGATATGGCACTAAGTAAGTTGAACTCTAAATAGCTGAAAAGAAATACCTAAATTGCATTATTGTCTCTTCTTTGTATGATTTTGAAATGACTAGACGTTCGTGGCTTGATATTTCCTCGTCGAGGTTCTATTTGAAAATCTGTTCGTGTTCAATCATCGCTTCGGAAACTGTCAATATTTATGCACGAAAAATATGTGCTACAGCACCTAACAGGTATGTTACATAAAGAGAGTGAGAATTGTATCAATCAATACGACTCTGAAACCAAAGCATTCTTCAACTTTTCTAACCATTGAAAACGATTGAGACAATTTCACTTTATACGGGGGATGAACTGTGAATATCAGCATGTCACTCACTGAGAGCTATTTCAAATACCGTGGACTACATATGTCGATAGATTCTTTGGACGCAATCCGAGCCTATATTTCTCCAATGCTATACCAATGACCAAAATTTATTGGCAATCTTGACTTCATTATAATTCATTATAATTATAATTATAATCATTATAATCTTCATTATATTTGAAGTTAAATTTTCATTATAATCATTTGTAGTTTTCCGTCCTTATTCAACACATATTCCATGTTTAACATGAAACTTTCCATTTAATTAGTAATTATTTTATTTCCTTAGCATGATTGCTTAATATCATTTATTGCAGAATCCCTCACCTATGACATTTCCATAACGATGCGCCACTCTACGATTGCGCGTCTTTCGATTTCTATAAAAATTAGTTGTTGTTCCTTTGTTCATTCAATCTTCCATTTTTGAACATTTATTGTCATCAATTCATGATTGTGTGTGTCTATTCTGACTGTCAACAAATACGAAATACGGGTTTTCACATACAGAAGCGCACGCAAGAATTCCCTTCTGCACGATTGAATTCACAATCATAAGGATAGGAGGCATTACCATAACTTATACAACAACCTACCATCTTTTCCTATTTATATGATATTATCATTTTGACCAATTAATTCTTGATGACTATATTTCCTGGACAATTTTTACTCTCTTAAAAGTTGAATAAGAGATGGTAAGATACATTCGGATTATTTATTGTTTCTGCAATAAAATGAAATTAGGGAAAATGTGTTTATCAGGATCGAAAATGTATTACAAAGGGAAACGTTGAACGAAAATATTTCATTTTACTACAATAAACGATTTGACGAAACTGCAAAACTTTTTTAAACAATTTAAATAGAAACTGATAATAAAATTATCAAAAGATCATTTCGTTCACTCTGCATTATGCAGCTGCCAACCAGCTCGAAAGCGTTTGCGGCGGAGCTTTACCCTGAAGTATTGCAGAGGTAAAACAATTTTTCTTCATAAAAATTGGAATCAAATATCGAAATCAAATTATATCATCTATTGTGTTTATTTTCTATCGATGATATTTTGTTTATGGGCGACTGCTCTCTTTATTGGTAGGTATGAAAAATAACCTTTTTAGAAAACAATATAATGAAGACATGAAATTTAACATCTCAAACTATTCAACACTAAGCTGTATGTGACAAATTGATGCTTGCAATATTTTCTAACACTTAGAAAATTTCAAAGGAATTCTCTGTAAGAACAGAAGAGAATCAAAAAATATAACCTAAAGTTAGGCAAAATAAAATTCTTACTGAAACGTCAGCTCGGCCATTTTTGGTGATAACGTTACCGTCCGCTTTAATTACAACGAGCATAGGAATCCCAGGAATTTCGTACTTTTTTTTCAGTATCCTCAAAATGAAGGAGTGATAATAGAGGAAACAATTAGCCAAAAGTATGCTTATATATATAAGTCTCAGATTCCCACAGCTTGAAATGGCTAAGTCGAAAAGACTTCTGTTTGATAAAAAAATTTGAAGCACTTTTTCAAAATAAGCAATTCTATGTCCAATTTCCTATCTCTTCCCATTTACTACGTTGTATTTGAATTGGCTATTTTTAGGCGAAAAACAAACTCAATTTCGCCGGAACCGAAGGGAATGTGATACCAATCGCCATGTGATTGTTGTAGATAGTTATTCAAATCCTCCTCCGAATGATCTAACGAGACAAATACTATTTCAAATTGATCGTCGTCTACTTCTTCGTAAAATTCCTGAATGTATCAAAGACACAATTAATATCTGATCATTCCTCTTTTCATAAAGATGTGTTTCATGATCCCTGAAGTCCATTAATTTTGCAATAATATACTGTAACTTTGAAAATTGTAAGCTCGAAAATCACTTTTAGAATCGGTGTAAATTGTCGGCATGATGGACACCAATGTGCTGAGAAATATAATGCTATAACTTTCTTATTCTGAAATGACGATATTCTGAGAATGAATTTGTGCAACACAATTCAAAGAAAAAAGGTTCTCTTGCTGGCAAAAAAGGATAATTCGACGGAGCTAATTTTCCATTTCCATATACTTCTACAAATTTTGTAGTCTCACTTACAAATTTCTAAAAATTATTTCAAAATGTATCGTCAGATAGCTTACAGCCAGCGCTTCTTTCCCTTTCTTTACAGTACCATCAGCTTTCTTCAAATCGATATTAGCAAATAAATCAGCCATTTCTGAGTTTTACAAAAGATCTAAAAAGAAATGTTAGCTCCACTTCTTGTAGCATGAAACATGAATTGAATAATCTGAAATCAATCATAAACTTCTTTTTTGCCTTTCAATGCTGTGTGGTAAATTTTTAATGTGATTAAATTGTTTGGACAATACCATGTTTGATAATCCCTAATAATGATATAAAACTAAGTGATGATTTTCAAATTGACGATAACATGCGGAATTTTCCGCTTGTTTTGCATTTCCCTGAAACCTTCGCACTGCAACTTCATTTATATATGTAATATAATCCAAGAAAGTTATCATCTTATAGTTCTATATAGTTCTACTTTTGGTTTTTGGGCTCTCTCTGGAAGACGTCACATTTATCGACCGGAATCGCCATTCCTGAATTATGCTCTCTACCGGTTATTAGCTAAAGAGAGCAGCGTATTAAGACTGCCAAGCAATCCTAAAGGTTAATTTCGTACCTCAATATATATTATTTTTATCGAACGGCATTTATTTCGATGGAAAATGAAAAAAAGTATAAGTAATCTAAAATATGAAGATTGTGTTTGAATCATGCAATCATCTAAGAAATAATAAATAATAAATACTTGAGAGAAACAGCCTAATTGATTTATATATCCTCGAATAAATGGTTGCTATGTTTGTTATTAACTTCGTCAGCTGATTATTCAATCATCTGATCATTTAAGAAAATTATAAATAAAGCAATGAAATCTAATGATATTAGAAGGTGAAAAAAAGCTATGAAATATGTAAAGCTATTATGCATATTTCTACCATACCAATTAAAAATCGTTTCATTTATCAGTCGTAATAACAGCAATAATTTTGGTTAAACTTTATTGTTAACTTATTCAACGGTATATTATCAAAATCTTATTTAGAAAAATTATCATTCGATTCATTCGTTATCTGATAAGAATCGTACGAAAGAAATAAAATCATTTAGCCTATTTTTTTCCCCAAGTCATCTTTCTATGAAATACAAAACGAAGAAAGGGACGAAAAAGAGAAAGATGTGAAAATGTGAAATTATTTGAGATAATTTATTTTAATGTTTTATTGCTGAAAATATATTACGATAACAAAAGTGCATTTTAAAGGTTAAAACATCGATAAAATCATTGTGTGAAAAACCTGAAATTGTTGAGTTCAACGCTAAGAATAAAAACTGTTCTCAAGTTGTTGAAATAATTTTTATGACGAAAAATGGCATCAATTCCTTTGGGTTAAGTACTTTTCGAATTCTGTCTTTAATAATTTTTCATCCTTATCAATCAATGTAATCAAAAAAATTTGTCATATGGAAGTTAATAATGTAAAGGAAATAAAATGATCACATAGAATTTTCATGATCATGATATTTGCATAAGATTGTTGAAGCAAATAATTATGGGTTTTTTTGATCAATAAAAAATTTAGCTAACGATTACCTGGTTAGAGAAAATTAGTACTTCCATTGATCAATATTTTATTGATAGTATTGATAATTTATTTATTTATTTATTTATTTATCAGCAAATGCTATAAAAATTGCCACAATTCAATCCAGCAATATTTTACAGTTTCTTGCTTTAAATTCAAGCTTGCAATGCTGAATCATATTTTGTTTACAAATAGTTAAATGTCATTCATTATTTAAGAAAATAAATTCCCGTCGAAAATTTGAAAAGTAATACAAATACTTTCTCACTTATTTACTACAATGGAAGCTTCTCTCTCTCTCTCTTTCCCTCTCTAATACAAAAAATTCCCAAAAATTACTTCTTTGAAAAAATACGCCTTGATATCAAAATCATTTTTATTACGTCTTACTACGCTTCTTACGTCTCATTATGCTTTGATATCAAAATCATTACCACTTTTTTAGCTACTGTCATATTTTTTGCGTGCAAAAATCTTTTTAAAAAAAATCATTCTTTATTAATTAAATTATAATTGCCTGTTTTACAATTGCCATAGCCAAAATTTTCGAAATATTTTATTGACGAATTTTACGTTTACAAATTGCTATACACAATGCAATGGGATGAAGAGAAAAGTGAGGAGTTCTGTGTAGCGTAGTATAACATGAAATAATATAATAAATATAATAAAATGGAATATCGGAAAACTATATATATCATACAATGTTCCAACGCTACTTTTTAACTTCTTGTAAAAATTGCATTGAGGGAACAAATCAGTTTACTTCTTCAGAATTAATAATGTCAAGGATTCCAGTAGTAGTGTAACTATGAAACACAATTATCCAACAGGATGTTCAAATTTTTCTATTTCAATTAAAGGATTATTAGACCGTGAAATAATTCTTCTGAAAAGGCTTCTTGCCTACACCTTGATTCTCCTTGACACATCATTCTTTTGAACAATGTATAAACGTTAGCGAACATTGGAACAGAATTAAAACGTTACCGACGTAATAATGAATCTCTAATACGATGAAGTCGGTATTCTAATACGTTTCAAACATTTATGCCGTTTGCTGTTGCATAAAGCAGATTCTTAAATGAAATTATGAAATAACGCAATTATCACGAGAATATCGCTCCGAAACGGCATAAGATGTAAAAGTCTGTACTTATGTGAAGCCATTCTAATCATGCGCATTTATTTATAAACTATGAAGATTCATCAAAAATTCATATTCCCATATTTCATCATAAGACCCTTCCCCACACACTTTTAAAATAAAGCGTATGAAAATTTGCACTATTAATCATCTTGTTTTAATAAAAATGAAATACTGAAATCGATGAATAAAATTGATGCAAACGAAGGTAAAGAAGATAAAAAATTTAATCAAAGGAAAACAAGTAAAAATGGAGAAAGGAAGCACAGCAAATAATTTTACTCGCGTCATTCATTCATAAACATCCGTAGACGCTTTCATCGCTGTATGCAATGTACAGAAAAAGATCCTCTTCGTGATTCTCCTGTAAATATAATTTTTCGAAAATGACCTGCTAATATCAGAAAAAATATAATTTATAATGATTACTAACACTTCGATGTGTCATAAGATTCTATTCAAAGTAATTCTCTTTACCATCCTCACGAGATAACAACGGACAAATCGAACCTATATCAAAGCCAAAAACAGCAGTAAAAACTGATGGAATTTCTATCCTTTCCCTTATTCTTCTCCCTTCTCCCTTTTCTTCCTGATAAAAAACGAAATACGCACAGGAAGATTCTCATTTAATTTAGCAGTAGTTAGGAAGAAAGCAACATGTAAGTGCAAAGTGTTCTTACTTGATATATTTGCCCCATCGTTGTCATTGTCTGTGGAATAGAGTTATTGACGAAAAAGAAAAGCGCATCCTCTGGGCGTAAATGTATCCTTTAAAAAGAGTACTTCCAATGAAAAATAATCATCAAACATTAAAATATGCTTTTGAAGGATACCTAGCAATGGCACTACTCTGTTAAATAAGTGTATAACAGAAGATGTTATATGCAAAGAACCTGAAACTCATCTTACTCAGAGATCAAAAATTATTTAAATACTTCAAAATACCATTTAGTCCTAAAAATTCAACGCCACTATGTAACTTTACCAGCTAATAATATGATTTTTATCCTTCTATTTTGTCCTTCTAATGCTATTGTAATAGGTATGAAAAAATCAATGAATAGAAGAGAAAAACAAAATGGATAGTACTATAAACCTTTTTCTAATAAGGAAGTAAAATTGTCCAACTGTTAAGTCGGATGGCACCAAGTACTTCTTCTTATCCAGATCACGAAGTCTTGCCTTCGGTGCTTTCTCAACAATAACCTAGAAAAATCTTAGTGACGTTACCAGTTATCAAATGAACAGTTTAATAACGGAATGGTTTTATTCAACTAATTCGCCCTTCCATAACAGCCACATCTGAAATGAGCTATATGTGATAGTGTTGTACTTCCGATTTAAGAAATTAAGAGGCCAAGTATTACACTTAAGAAATCGAATATACCCTCTTTCTTTTCCAGAATGCGACTCGCAAATTAGAAAATTGCAACCATGTCATATAATCATCCTTTTTGGCAATCGAATGAGCACCACAAAAAGATGTGAGTTAACCGCTGTTGCAAAAAATACTAAAATTATTGAAGTTTATAATGCTTACAAAAAAACCACACAGAAAAAAGTAAAACCTACAGGTATCCGATCAGGATACTTGCGTCTAATTTTTTCGCCTTCCGCTCGCCGCTTCTCGAATGGATTTTCTTCCTTATAAACCCACTTCATCATCAACTTCTCTGATGTTGAATACGCTGAAAGTTATCACGTGAAGGCGTAAGCTACATTATTTCATTCAATAAGCAAGATATATGACATTTCATCCGATAAGCAAGGTGTGAATCACTTTGATCTCAGCATCTGCTCTTTTGGCATAGTTCATTTCTTAAAACAAACATGTTTTCAAAAGAATATGATACTACGAATGAAGTGAGAGTAATAAGGAAAATAGAGGTAAAAATTCATTTACTAATAATAATAAAGTTTACGAGAAAACTGTGATATTTCCCTCTTCCATCTCGCTATTCAAAATTACAAGTTCACATATATTAGAGTGAACAGTGTGTGAGAGAGAGAGTAAGATGATCAGGAAATGTTAAGATAACAATTTCAGCGATAGTTTAAGATAATCAAAAATTCGACATATTCGTAGGGTAAATTTCAGCACATTGTAGAAGATGGAACATAATATCTTCACTAATTATGATATGATTAATTGATACATCAAAGATAACCGCAAAAAGAATAACATTCATTTTCATTGATTCATTGACATATTTAAAAATGCATATCCCGAGATCCGTACTTCATGCAAAAACAATGATAATTGCAAACTTCCGACCTTACTAAAAGGTTTTTGGAAAAGCTGTGAAGCAACCCATAAGGATTAATAACGCGGATGATGTGTCGCCCATCCATCTCTCAACAGAACTCCTCGCATCGATCGATTTATTCTCTTCCCATTCTACTCAATGATGCATGTCGCTGACTATCTTACACACAAGCTCGTTTTCTGTCATAAAGTGAGCCATACAGAGTAACACCGTCGTCTATATGTTCATACATATAAACATTCATACATACATACATACTCACATACTCAACATATATATAACGAACATACACAAATATACATACAAACAAACACACACACATACACACATACATACATACACATATACATATATAAATGCGTATGTGTAGACGTGTAGACGTACATACCGTACGTGTATATACAACCAGACAGACGTAGATGCACATTACATATATGTAAACAAATGAAAATAATCCTCTCCAATAAAGAAAGGACTGCGTGAAAATAGTAATCATCGGCGTGTCGAAATTTGCGTGCTGCAGCGGGAAAGGCTAAAGGTATCAATTAGTTGTATTGTAAGCAATGATAGACAATGGATATGATGATTATTGCGGGAAACGCGATATAATCGATACTATCGCATAGTTGAACGAGAAACTTATATTTTCAACTAATTGATTTTGGAAAAAAATAATTGGTATTATTATTATTATTATTATTATTACAGATCGCTTTTATTAGAAGCTTTTCCTGTTGAAATGTGATATGTTGATAGCTCTAACATCCTCCGTGAGATAGAGATAGAGCATTTTGCAATTTTCTGTATATGTAATGCATTATTTCTGTAGATTATAGAAATGTAGGTTCAAGAAATTTATCATTCATACACAATGTGAAGCATATATGATGATGATATTCTATTCGTCCATCCGATTTGTGAGATTGCAAATCATGGGATTCATGATTTATCAACTCAGAATTTCATCAGTGAAGACGTTTTCGTAACAGAAAACTATAAAATCATCTTTATTCTAGACAACCAAATTCACCAAATCAGTTAATATAGCTAGCAAGTTAACGACACAAAATGTCATCAGCTCACATATGCATAACGACGAAATAGTTGATATCTTCGCCATAGATGCTGAATGATCAGGTAGTATGAGCTGCTATTTGCGCAGAGATTACTGATAACGTCGAAAAGAGATAACGATCAGCTTATTAATCGATGGAGAAGATGCAAAGTCAATCGTTTGCGCTCCTTCTGGAATCAAAAAAGGTAATGGTTGAATCAAAAAAGGTAATGGTACTTCTTGATGATATACTGTCACTATAGTCTTCTTTAACTACGGAAAACTATTTTATCTGAATGCGTTCTGCAAATGAATAAGTAGCCGAAAATTGCAATGCATTTAGTTGATTGATCAGTGGAGGCAGAGCAATTCTTCACGACAATGCACGAAACCAAAACTGCAGTTTTTGGACGAACTGGATTACGAAGCTCTACTATATCATCGTCACATTCTTGGTAGTCGATTGTCATTTCATATATTCCGATAACTTTTTGCAGGGAAAATCCTTCTACAACGAATTCATAGGCATAGAAGTAGCAAACTTATTTTTAGCTGACAAAAATAAGTGAGTTATAATTTGGAACTACGATTCTTTTTGGTCAAGTTAAGACTAAAATAGCCGCAAACTCGGCCAAAGGGGTTTACCTCTACAAATGGATGAAATCATACAGTGTTAGGCACTACTAATCAATAGCTCACAAAAATATCCACTGGAAATGTATTCTAAGTTTCTACTTGAAAAAAGATTATCGAGACATTCTATTCCAGAATAAACCTCAAAAAGAAAAAGTTCGTTAGAAGAAGAAAAAGTTTATAACTCACATATTTTTGTCATCTGGAAAAAAAAGAAAAAGTTCGACACACGGTACTTCAAACAAAAAAACCGCAGGTAAATTCTGACAATGACGTGTTTGCTTGCAATAATTACAAGCCGAAAGGAACGTAACCAATAATTACAAGCCGAAAGGAACATTAAAATTAATGTTGAATTACATAACGTTCTTGCACTCTTTTACCTGTTGTTTTTGACGATGGTATTCTCCTTTTTATGTATTCTCCTTTTTCTTCTTTATTATTACTGGTACATTTTACATTCTCTAAGGATCAGCTTCATCTTGCTGACCTATTTCCAAATGATGCAGTCAATCAATAATTATTGACATCGGATTTAATCACACATAGAGTTACCTGTTTGACTTCACATGCAGTCATTTGGGCCCTCCACTCCTCTTCACGTCATATCTTAAAATGTTTGACAAAAAAGCAATGATAACAGTGCGCTTTAATTATTGTTACCGGGAAGGTCAAGATCTGTATATTCGCTTTTATTCTGGGCACAATGATCAGTCAGTTGGTTAATCTCCATTGTGTTATATATATTACTACAAGAATATTAATTAAAATCAAATCCCAAAAGTAATGGCCTCGGAAATTCATCAAAGAAATGTCCCTAAAACAATCACATAATCGGTTTTTGCTAGCTAACTGATCCCTTTTTGTCCATGACTAGTTCAGCGCTTTGTCATTCACCTTGAATTAAGGTTTTAAATTCAATTCCTTTTGTTTAACAACATCCCATAGAAAGGCTGAATTTAAGAAATAAGATTTTAATTTTTTAGATTTTAAGAAATCCGAACAGCTTCAAATCAGTGCGATTCCTCGCCAATCGTATTACTTTTAAAAAATTATGTTAAAAAGGAAATTCTCAAAACAAACAAAATATGCATTTTATTTTAAAACTTGTCGTGATGATTCTAGGATAAGGGCAATATTGACGAAACTTTTGGATGGACCATAACAATTTAGAAATTTAGGTTTGAGCTTGATATGTACTATCACAAATTTAAAAATCACCTCAAAAGTTTCAAAAAACATTCATCTCAGAGCGTAAAAAAATCACATACGAAGATATTTACTTTTGAACGTGTGAAGATGAAAATCAGGATTAGAAAATGTACACAAAATAACATTAGTATTTAGGAAGTTTCGTACAAAATTCCATGCACGAACAAAACGAAATAGGTCATTCACAATACATCACATAATCGAGCATGAAAGAAAGGAAAGATGAAACTACAATTGATTGAATTGAATTAAATGATAAGTCTCAGATTTAATAAAAGCCTCACGCAATTCGAAACTAAAATTAAGATAGCGACATGTTCAACTCGACGGATTATTAAAAAGCATCACGACTGAATAATTGAATACCCGATAAAATTCATCATTTATTATAGTTTCTGATTCAATACATTTGATATAATAAGTCAATCTAACATGATTCAGTTTCACTGGTACCTTACGATAGCATGCCTAGATATGATGAAACTAAGAAGGAACTCACGAAATAAACCGCTTATACATTTCCGCTCAGTCCATCAAACATAACAGTAACGGTTTCCTGCAATATCGCTTTGTACTGAAAGATAAAACTATTTGATGATAGGATCTGCTTATGCTTTTTACTAAATAGTCAAAAAAAAGAAACAAAAACGACTTAAACATGTTCTTTCCTGATACAGTGCGATAAATCATTATGTTAGAATGCCAAAAAATAGAAAATAGGTACGAAAGACATGACCCAGTTTACTGCCGAAGATTTAATACGATGCTACAACGTCAATTTCTTTTTGAAAATTCCTCTAATTTATTAGGACAATTCTTGCACTAAAACTCTGCTTGTAGCTAGCATAGCAATTGAAAATCCAATCTGCCAAATAAATTAATGCTCACGGAATCACAGCATCAAAGCATTTATAATTATGGAAAACGAAAATTCAAAAATGTTATGAAAATCAAATATCATCATCTAGAACAATGCTAGTATTAACAGCAGCCTGACTGTTGTTCCCATCAACTATGATATCCTGCTCTTGAGCATCGTCATCAATAACAATATCATCGTTATTGACATTCCTGCCACGGCCATTTAGTTCTTCAAATGATTCACTAATGACCATAACGTCGTCATCACCTAAAGTGGACGATTCCTCCAAATCGATTACTGCATCATTATTAAATGATGTAGCCACTGCCACTGCCTCATCTGTAACTCCCATCGATGAGATATTAGGATAAGCCAATAAGAAACCTGTAAAGGAAGTTAAGTGGTGAGAAACAACCTTAGACATCAGAACAAAATTCCTCCTGATCTTTGTTTTTTTCTGAACTCCAAACAAAGAAAATTTCCAGATCTTGAAAGTTTTATATCTTTAATGTTTTTATCAAGACTTGCGATACAAGAAACAGACTAGAAGTTTTGTAAGTGACTGTGATACTCACTCCCAGGAAAATATTTGAAAACCAAGATACCCTAATTTTACGATTTTCGCAAAAACCGACAATGCGCTAAGAAACGCAGTTATTTAAAAAAGAAAAAAACCAATAAGTAATACCTCTTCGAGTATTTCTATCTCGATCAACACTCAGTAACATCCTATTCAGGTATCTATGATCGAGATCAGAACGTAATATCCCGTGACGAAATTGCAAACCCATTAATCGTTGACTTCTGCGGCGCCGACGCAAACGCCCAAATAGACGTCGACTACGAGAAACTGATATAGAATTTCCTCTGCTAGCAGCATTTGAAAAACTCTAAAAAACTCTAATAAACGAACAGTAATTCGAAATTTAATTAATTTTACTTTTTAATACTGTCCTCGTTAATCACGACCGAACACTGAACATATCTTCTTGAAGTATGCCTTCAGCCTGTAGCCTACCATTCGGCAAGCAATCAAAGACTCTTAAGAATTCAGAAAAATACCTGTTCGTCATCATCAGCACCATCGCTTAAAACAATTTCTCCATTGTGATCGCTATTCTGCTGTACTCTTTGTTGATTTGAATTTCCTCGCTGGAAAAAGTGAACTGATTAGAACTTCTGGAGACTATAAGAAAGAATTTCTTAGAACACTGAGTTGATCAACATATACATTAGTAAAACGAGAAGTGGTATCAAACACGCAGGACAACTCACCCTATTTCGCATTCGATGACGATATTGCACATAACCTTGAATAATTGCCTAAAATACAAATCAATTGATATAATTCTGCATCCAATAAACCGATACCAATAAAAAGCAATCATTAATTTTTTAATGCACCTTATTAATTCTTGTAAATTATAGATTCTATTACTTACGAAATCAAATAAAAATTCAATGGTTCAATTACATTGTTATAAAATCCATTTCATTTATTCTAAATCAAAATTGAAAAATTCACTTCGATTGTGTTGCCCAGAGATATTTCTTCATTTGGAGGAAGCATCTCATCACTTGTTTCAAGAATGAGAAGCAAGCGCCGCAAACTTATTAACTGCAAAATTGTAGATTTAAGTGTGACAAATGAAAGAATTTGAATTAAAGATGTCTCTTAAAAGACTCTCAGAACTTATGAAACTTAGATAAAAGCATTTTTAGCCTATATGAGAGAAAAACAATTTAATAAATGACAACGTTCCATCACTCAACTTCCGTCTGTAACGATTCGACTTTCAAAACAGCCTCAAGACCGGACAAACATTTTCAATGGTCAACATTAATTATAAAATAATCAGGAAACCAAGAAAGTTTAGAAAAAAATTAATAAATACCGCATCAGTATAAGCGGACACAAAATGCAAATGTGATGGCGATATTCTTTCATCACGATCCTGTGGCAGTATCTGTCTAGAGGCTCTGAAAGGAAGCAACTTTAAAATTATTTTCTAACGAGTGAAGAAATGTAAAAGATGATACAGTGCTTTATTTCATTAATAACTTCGAAAAATTGTTGGGTGACAATGGCAGAAAAATATGAATTTCATAGCAACTCACTGATTTCTATTGGGTGGATACAGATTTTCCAGTTCAACCTGAAATAATAGTTGCTACACTATTATAGAAAAATCATCTACTTTCTATGACTAGTCGTCACATATGATCGAATGAAATGCAACACTCTTCATACCATTTTATCCACTTCCTCAGTAAGATTACATTTTCATTCGTTAACCGAAGGTGGAATTTCTTCGAGTTTCTCAAGTCTTGAAAAAATCACTGATGAAGTAATAAAGCTGAGTTTAAAAGTATTCAAAAAAATAAGAAATTTTTAAGCATAAAAAATTTACCTGAATATCGTCATCATTAACATTACCTCCAAAGAACACCAAATTCATGTTTGTCAATCGCCGCCTATACTCTGTTCTACTAAAAAATATTTAAAACTACTAACAATTTATAACAAAAAAATTAAGTTTTTAGAAATATCATCATACTCGGAAACTGATACTTCACAAAAGATCTTCATTTCTAGAAAATGGAGTACAACATATATACTGCACACTATAACAATATCTCATACATATCGGCGCTATACTCCGTATCATAAAATAACACACCTGATATATTCGCTATTTTGATCGAACAAAGTTATCTCCTGACCACTGACAGCAAATTCATATAGCAGTTCTACAAAGTGATCAACAAAATTGACTAAAACAGGGCATTCCTCGCGAAGGCAAGAAGTAAACTGAGGCGACATAATTTGATGGGACTTGGCTAAATCATACACAAGTTCAGCAACGCGTTCCAAATTATGTATACCCTGGAAAATTTGAAAAAAAAGCAATAGACAATCTTTGTGTGGTTATACGAATTACTCGCAGTTATAAATTTTAAAGAAGATAACAAAGAAGATTTGTTTAATCCATCAGAATCAAAGATAATGAATAAAACTACTTTCATCAGATTCCTAGGTTATTGTCTCTTCTACGTCTTTCTAAGAAGAGCCTCATTTACATTATTTTATTTATGACTTAGTGATCCAGAACAACAAAACGCAATCAATAAAAGAGGTAAGAAAATTATGCAATAACTTACTGGTAAAATAGCATTTAGCTCACGTCGAACAAATTCAGAAATACGTGCTCGCTCACTTCTTTCATTATTTCGAAAATACTGAGGTGAAACACTATTGCGACGAATTCCTGCATTAACAGTATTAACTACTGGTACACGCTGCAACCGAAGATCATAAACCAAGATTCGAAATGCTGGGTCGGATATTACTTCACCTCTAAATCATTCCACATCAAAATTTGCAAGCAACAAAAAAAAAAAAACACAAGCAAAGTATTACGAATCAATACTACGAGCTTCACAAGAATTCCATTCATCCATTTCAACAAGTATCTTAATAGTAAGCACCAAATTTCATTCTACCAACAGCGATATAATGCTTTGTGAAAGAGCTTTTTCTTTGCCTACATGAAGTTATTAGAAATCCATTTTAATCCAAAAGCTAACGAAATGTCTCAGAAAAAGATTACTAGTTTCAAGAAAAAACTGATAGTCGGTCTGTAAATGTTTTTAGATCTAAAAAGTACTTCAAAAAAAATTGAACCTTGGCCTTTCCCAATTATCCAAAAGCAACTGATAGCGATTAATCCGATCAACATATTCATGTCGATAGCTATCACTTTCCAATATTTCTGATCTTTGTCTTCTGAATAATAGTACAATATGTACTCTACGACTGATTAAATCAAAGAGCATAACCTGAGTCAACAAGATTACAATGGACGAAACAGCTGCTGATGAAAATTGCACTATGCTTATTTTGCATATAAATAAATCAATCGTGAAAAGTTCATGTCAAGATGAAATCATAAAAGAAATTTAAATTATGTGGTATGTTCTACATGAAAAATGTGAATCTACTAAAAAACCGATCATAAAATATGAAATTACTATCTTAAAAAGTAAAATATACTCGTTTAACATGTGGTCCTGCAAACGAACGAGCCTTTGAAGATGGCGTATGCGACGTACTAATTCAGCGCGTTCTCTTATAAGTGGACGTGCGGAGTCGGTTTCAATTCTTTCTCTTATTGCTTGCCGTTGAATCACCTCCACTGTTATTCTATAGAAGAGAAAAAAATAATTAATGTAACCAAAAATTGGAAATAAAGAAAGGGCTAAGGACATTATACAAGAGCCGCTTTCTCTTCAATGATTGCATTTTAATCCCATTCGTTTGACATTACACAAGAACTTTTCCTCTTCAATGATGCATTCTAATCTCAACAAATGAAAGAATGTATAATTTTCTTTCCACTAAATTCGAAGTTGAATGCTTATATGGCTGATTAGAGGGTTTCTGTGAACTCATGAAATATCTGTTTGATTCAAGATTTTACTATGGCTGTGTTTAGCATGCAGTATACGTAACCTTGGAAGGAACATACTCTTCTATGGCCTCAGCATCATTGTCATCTTTTTTTACGTGGTGGATAACTTTTGATACTGAACGTTTACACATCGGACAGATGGGCCGTAACTTGATCCATTCCGTTATACATCTGTAAAGAAAGGACTTTTAAATCAAGAGAAACCAATTAATGGCAATATAACTGCATCTTCTTTTTGAATAGCAGCCGAAAATGATAAAATTTCTCACAGATAATTAAAAACTGAAGTCAGAAATGCTAAGGTTGTTGAAAATTTCAACAGCTAATATATACTGGAATGATCAAAAACCCTGTACGGTCATGTTTCCATAATCAAGACGCGACATTTAGTAAAAGTATAAAGTAATTTCATACAATTTAGATAAATCAAACATTAGTAATGCAAATACTTAAGAAACAACGTACGGATAACAATACTTATGTGAACAGCCATCCAAAGTTGTTTCATCAAACATGGGAATCCCCAAACAAATCGAGCACTTTTCGGCCTTACTATTCATAATAGCGTCATTTGCTCCATTAGAACTCGTTTCTTCTGATTCTTAAAACAGAATTCAGAATGAATAAAGACAAAAATACGATCAAATCTGCTTGACCAAGACAATTTCATTGGCAGCAATCCAATATTATAGGCTTGCCTATCGGAAAGATAAATTCTGCTTTAACTATTGATTAGCGCAATTTTAACGTATTTTTCTGCACAATAAAACAACGATAAAAGCTGGTCTTTAATGAATAACGAAGGTTTCAAGGCCTTTGCAATCTTCAGAAAATTTCTAGAGATGAAGTTAAATTTAGCATTTACTTCATTATAATTTGCTTGAATTATTTTACAGAAAGAAAGTAAAATTATGATTCCAAATCAAATCAATAATAAGTGAACAAACTTTGCTGTGACGACAAAACAGATAGACTGCTGTTTTTCATGTGGCACTTTTCCATGATATCCTTGGATCGTATGTATTTCGATGACTGAGAGCTACAAAGGAAAGAATGAATGGTACAATAACTGGATACGATAAACTGGATCTTCTACTAGCCGTACAATCAATATACTAAAACATATCCAGCATTGATTGAGAAGCATAATCTCAAACCTCAACTTTAATTTTTGGTTCAATTTAATAACAAAAAATCAAGATTAGCAATAAGGAAAAGGCATAAATTATTAAGCAGAGGCTCATCTTATTCTGTACGCATAAGTCCACGACTAATTTAGAAAGTTATTTTTTAAAAAAAGCTTAAGAAAGCATGAGATGACAAATGCAAGCTCAATTTTAATCCAGCAAAATGTATTAAGCACCAAAATTCATTTTCTACATATATATGAACTCAACAACATTTTCATACCATCGTTGTATAATTTGAAAATGTTGAGCAAAGTAAGATAATTCATCTTACAATCACAATGTGAAGAAATCATGCTTGATCAAATCCAGTCTTTGATTATGAAAGATTAAAAGAGATATAAAGTTATATTACTTGTTAATAATCTAAGTTAACTTGTGACGTGTGTTAAAAAGTGCATGGAACCACAAAATGACAAGGCGACGTTCGAATCTCATCTAACCGATATTTTAATATTACTATTAAATTCGATTGGTGCAATACAAGAATAGCAAATTTCAGCTGTCATACTGCTGAAATTGAAAACAAAAAATTGGATTGCGTTCGGAATGAAATATTCCGAACGCAATCCAATTTTCTGATTTCATCCATTTCAACCATTCCCTAATATAACTTCCTCGCAATAATCCAGCTTAATTGGTTCATCCTACGTGAGCAATAATTATTCCCGTAACAGGCCACAAACATACGCACCGCATGTGCATCGCTCGTGCAGTCGAAAAGGCTCAAAAGTCGTATTCAATCATGAGATGTATTTAGGTACACAATATATCGGGCCGTAAGAAGACAGGACGCGAAATTTTCCACTCGGCAGTTTGCTTGCCATCGCTCTGAGGAGGGAGGGGTGGTACCAGGCGGAGTGGTGTTATTAGATTAGTTTTAAGTTAATTTAAGATGTAGGACGCTGGATTAAATTCGATGTGGATTTCTGTTCTTACTATTGTGAGTCGGTAAGAGACTTACGTAATCCTAAAAATGGAGATATCATAAATGCATTTGTTATTAAAGAAAATATGAAGAATTGAGTAGCAGTTGATTCACACTTGATGGATAATCTTCGATCATGAAATATGGATTGAAATGAATTAAAACTGAAGGGACATTTCACAGAAATGTCTTTCCCTTCATTACTTGACAGAAGAAAAAAAAGCTAGCTATATTAGTAATTATAAATAATCAATTGTTGATATTGATAATAGCATATTTATCACGCAGAACCGAAAAGAAATAGTTTGACTAGGATGAAAATGGTGTGAAGTGTAAGGCTTAGGAAACTTAACAAATGATACTCACTGAAATGATTTTGATCCAACTGAGCATCGTTTCTAACAACTGACTTGATTGATGTTTTATCGGGAAAGGATAGGAAAATAGAAATTTCATGCAAAACATATATCGTTCCATATCATCGAAGTAATTTCTTTTCTTACGAGACATAACAGTTTAATGTTACTGAAATTTGTTCAAATTATACGACGACTGAATTCTTTGTTCATCTATTTAATAAAGTAGCACAGCAAGCGAATAAAATGTGATCTATTGAAATTCTGCTCTACGATTTCGATTAAACGAGCGAAGTTTAGTTTAGAAATGGCTCGATTGAAAATGTAAATAATTTCATTGTAAAAAGTTTGACATTTTTGATTTTTTTCACGTGATGTAATTATGTCATCGATATAACATTCGTCGGTTTTGATAATTATGCATGCAAATATTATTTATACAGTATGCTTCCTCAAACCTTAATTCAGTTTATAATAAATGTAGAAAATGTGTGATATTGTATCATACGCACTGCAGATGTTATGTATACAAGTTACCACAAATGTTGCCATCGGAACGAATTAAAACGTTCAAGAAGGTTCTGAATGCAGGGCGAGGAAAAATTCCAGAATTTAGGGTTGGTACCAAAGCTATATTTCATTATGAGACATTGAAACCACTGGTGAATGTGAATGAGGAAGGATTCCCAGATTCGAGGTAAGCTTTCATATATTTTTGTAATCTTATCGCATCGTAACATAGAAACTTCATGTTTCAGAGATAGCTATAAGTCGATCGATAATACTCGAAAGCCATATCCAGATGGTTATGGGAAACCGCTGGAATTGGTATTTGGAAAGAAGTTTCAATTACCAATATTTGAACGATGTTTAGAGACAATGCTAGTTGATGAGGTAGTTTTCTTTATCCCTTCTTTTCATATTTGGTTATGGGTAGTTGTCTGTGAATAACCGTTGGATTGTAATAAATTGTCTATTCATGATTTAAGAAATTCAGCTATAGTAAGGCAAATAAAGATTTCTGTTTTAGATTTGAAATTTGAGAAAATGGTGTAAGATGGATATCAACGCAAGAATTGTGAAAATGAAATAAGTATTCTATTTCGTTGTTTGTTTTTTTGATGGCATCTCCGGAATTTTTCCAAACAGCGGATTTTTTTTGGAATAGAATATTTATTTCATTTCTCGTATATGCAATTCATAAAACACACAGCAGTCGATTTCAGATCAGTCAATTTGATGTAGCTGCCTGTGAGCTCTATCCATATCCGTCAGTTTCACAGAAACTTCGAAATATATCAAAAGATGATATGCAGTTGGGCAACCAAAGTCATCATCATGGACACTGCGCTGCAGTAAACGACTTCACGTTTGTATTTCATTAATTGATGAATTAATAGGCTTTTTGAATTTATTTGGAATATTATGCTATATTTTTAAGCTTTGCTACTAGTATTTTATTGAATTGTGACTATCGCAAATTTTTTGCTTCATTTTATTCTCCTTGATGCGAGGCAAGTTTTTCCTTTAATTTCCGATTACTCCAGCCACCCACCTTCCCGTAGAAAACAGAGATCGGGATTAAACTTCCATTACTTTTTCTATTTGAATCATTCAGAATGGAATATGAAGTTTTGAATGACCTTATCAAGAATCCTCAGCCATTGCGTTTTATCTTTCATCTGTTGATTGTTTTACAACCGGGAGATTACGAACCAGACAGCTGGCAATTAGAACCCGACGAAAAATTGGCAAGTGTCGCGAAATTGAAACAATCTGGAAATGAATATTTGCAAAAAGCAAGCCTTAAATGTTTTTTTTGAAAAATTGGCTGATAGTTATCACTTTTTAGACTGATTATTCGAAGCCTGCATATTTATTGGGAATGTAATTGCACCACATAAAATTACACATAATTTTTGTTATAATGTTATAATGCGATAGAAAAGTTTTAGAGTGACTATCTGAATGCGTCACTAAGATATAGAGAAGCTCTAAATCGCATAGATACTCTTCTACTGCGTGAAAAACCAGGTGATCCAGAGTGGGTTGATCTTGATAAGCAGGTGATTTTTTTCACATTTTACAAAATTTCCGTCTTTGATTTAAAAGACTTGTAATACTTCTGTAATAGCTTATGCACTTTAATTTATAATAATAGCTTATGCTTTTGTATACTTTTGACTCTGATTTTACACAATGAAGTAGTTCCCTTGTGTAATCCACATGGAAATCAATTTTCTTTTATGACCCTACGAGTTTATCAACTGTATAACTTCCACGAGCGCCATGGATTTTTTGGTGAAATTCATCGATAGCATTGCTTGGTGAGATACAGTAGATATATCTAGGCAAACATCATTTTGGAGGTGCGTAAGTACTGCTCTTTTTACATGTTCCTTATGTTTGGTTATTTTTTATTTGCAGAATATACCTCTATTTTTGAATCTTTCTCTCTGTTACCTGAATTGGAAGCAATATTATGAAGCTATTGATGCTGCAACTGAAGTATTGAAAAGAGACGAGCTGAATGAAAAAGCATTGTACAGGCGCGCGAAAGGACGAATCGCAGTTTGGGATCTAGAAAAGGTCTCTTCCAACTTCACTGTTAAATATTAAAATATACAGTGAATATTTTGCGTTATGTTTTTTATTTGTCTGTTGTTTCATCTGTTAATTAGTGAAATAGCCGACTCAAATAATCGCGAAGAGATAAACTTGAAATTGTGGCATTTTGACCGTGTAGCTTAGTGGTATGAGTTCTATGGAATTGAAATTATGTCATTCAGTTATCTGGCCATAATTGATGTTGCGATCCCAGGTAAAAATGCCATTTAGAGAGATAAACAGAAATTTATTTTTCTATTTTGTAACATCGCTTAATTTAGGCTGAAGACGATCTGAAAATGCTTCAGCGGCAGTATCCGGGTAATGTAAATTTGGTAAAATTTGAACTCGAACGAATACAGTCGCTTAGAAAAGAGCGTGAAGAAAGCGCCAAGAATACCTATAAGCATATGTTTAAAAATGTCCACTAATGCTTTTCTTCAGTTTTGTTTAACACTTTCATATAATTATTACTTCCCTTTTGTTTCCCTATATTAAATAATATTTCAACCGTCGAAGAAAAAAAAATGAGGGATATAAAAGACACTTTTAAGAAGTGCTATTAATTGTGCATTTTTTTCCAGAGATTTGTTGTTATCATCATTCCTTAAACTAGTCATGAATTGTTGCAGTTATTAGGACATTTCTACTAATGAACAGAAAATTGTACATTAAAATTAAAAACAAATATGCTGTCATGAGTAGTTGCAGATATCAAATAGGATCTTTCTTTGAAACACTTGTTTCTGTCATGAAATAATTTTATACAAATAATGAGTCTAAAAAGGGACTCTATAAGATGATAAAATTTTCATGCAGTTCGTTTTTTTTCTGTAAGCGTTTGTTTTATTATGGTGGTAATTTGGAGATGTTTTATGGTCATTTTGACTTCGTAGCATATTATTGAACAGTGATAATAAATATATAGCAATTAATTAGCTCTTTGTAATATGGTTAGTAGGAAGATTGCAACTTTTACATATTACGATAAATATGCAAGTCATATTTGTAAATTATTTTATTAATACAAAAGGCTACACAAATAGTTTTATTGCATCAAAAAAAATTTCTAGAGTAAGAATATTGTTACACAAATTCTTTATTAGTGAGAATGTTACCGTCCTGCATTAAGCTAATTATGTTATAAATAAATCTTAAGGAAAAGGCGAATGGTCTATGTTTGCATATATATATATATATACGACTTTAAGTAAAAGATTAAAGATTTCTTACTTAAAAATATATTACGGTAGTTTCTTTTTCAAAATAGTTGTTCAGTTATATTTATAACCTTGAAATTAAACGTGACAGGTTCTGCGATCTAAAAAAAAATCGATTTCGGGAAAAAAAATTGAGAAGACAACAGCATCATTAAAAAATTGAAAAACAACAGCTTCATGAAATATTTAATGGTTTGCCACTAACCGCAGCTCTTTTACGTATTTAATTTTCATTAAATAATTGACCTTTGGATATGTAAAACACAACGATCGTTTCGTTGTAATCATGAAGAGTGTTCAATTCCGGTAAAAACTTATTCTCTTTGGATGATAATATTTTGGTAATAATGCGGCAAACTTTTTTTGTTAAAATTATAATACTTTATTAATGAAAACTCAATAGTTCAAAATTTTGAAATTTTGATATTTGATATGAGTAAGAAGCAGTTACGATCCATACATAGAGAAGGAAGGGAATGATAACGGGAGCAATTATAATCCATACATAGAGAAGATAAGGAAGTGATAATGAGATTATATGAGGATCAAAAAGATTAAACTAAACAATTCAACAAAGAGAATAGTAATACGCATGGAAAAAGATCACGGAAAAATATTGACACTATTGTACGATATTTCGATCATACAATGATATCATAAGATTAATTTTTCATATCACTTCCTAGAATTAACAATTTTATTTCTAAACATATTGAAGTTAAATTATGTTGCTATTTTTAAGCTATCATCAGTGTATTCTTTGACAACAATTCACTGAGGAATGTTGTCAATATTAATTATCGAATAATTAATAGCATTTTGTCGCTTTTGACAATGAATATCTCTCTCACTTCGCTATCATTCCAAAAAGCAATCATTTTAGTTTAAACAATTCGTATCAATTGCTACTAAATATTTATCACTGCTTAATTTCTAATTTCTTTCATTTAATTACTTGTAATTCATTTCATTGCAATAATTTAATTAAGTATAATTTATTAAAATTTAAATGAATGCTAAATAATAATTATCATATTACGCATATCATATATATAAAGCTATTATAATTTTACTACTCTTTTTGATATCAATAAAGATATTTTTTTTTAAATATCTTTATATGATTATATATGATTATGATTATGTTATTAATTCATTTATAAGTTTACTTTCATAAGTGATAATAAATGATAATAGATAACTAGTAATTTTAAATATTTGATAAATGGCAAACTTTAATTTTAAACATTTTTTTTATTTTTAATTTTTAACTTATATATTATGCATTTTTATTTGTTGTGTTAACTTTGAACTTTTAACTTAACTGTTAAATTGTTAACTTTGAACTTTTAACTTAACTGTTAAATTGTTAACTTTGAACTTTTAACTTAACTGTTAAATTGTTAACTTTGAACTTTAAAGTTTTAACTTTTAACTTAACTGTTTAATTGTTAACTTTGAACTTTTAGCTTCTAACTGTTAAATTGTTAATTTTGAACTTTTAAGTTTTAACTTAACTGTTAAATTATTAACCTTTAATTTAACTGCAAAATTGTTAACTATGAACTTTTAACTTAACTGCTAAATTGTTAACTTTTAATTTAACTGGTAATTTGTTAATTTTTAACTTTGAACTTTTAAGGTAACTGTTAAATTGTTAACTTTTAACTTATACATTACGCATTTTTATTATTATCCATTTCTGTTGCTCCTATGCTAATAATTTAGCATTTTTCCATTGTTGTTTGCTTTCTCTTTTCTATTCTTATTGTTTTTCCTCAATTGATTACTGAAAAGATTGTTGACAGCGTATTATTATTATTATAGCTTTTTTTTTCCTACTGATGAAAATTTTCTTTCATACACTACTCAATTTTATCATCCTTCAAATTGCTAATCCTCTCATAAGTTTTGTTTACTGAAAATGTTTTGATAAAGTTCATTTTGCTTCTTTCCATCACTTATACCGCATATCTTGATAAAAAGTTTATTTTTGCTAACTTACAAAGCTTTCCGCTACTCTTTCTTCAATAAGAGCTTTTCCCATATCTAATTCTTCTTTTCATATATGTAAATATACTCATCAAATTCAAACATTTTTAGTGGTCTCTCTTTTTCTCATTCCTTCCGCTACTCAATGCGGTAAATTCAACTATCGTTTTTCTATCTCAGAATTACTCCTTCTTATAATTTGTTAAAAAAATTGAATCATTATTTTTGAGGAAGGTGAATATTTAAAATATATATGATTGAAGTAATCTTTAGGTTTGATTCTTATCATTCATTTTCTTCTTATCACTCGAAATCTTATCACTTTTTTTTCTTTAACTTGATAATACACTTTCTCATAAATAGCAAAATTTACTTCTATATCAATTTATATTATTTTTAGTTAAGTTTTTTATGCAATTCATAAACTATTACAATTTTTGAATTTAAATTAGAAAATAAATTTTCATCCATCACAGTTATAAATGTTGTAAATTTTGTGCTTCAAAATTAATGCAAAAATCTTAAGTATAATAACATATATTAAGTGTAATTAAATATAATAATAATTAAGTATAATGATAATTAATAATTAAGTATAATAATACACATAAACAACTAAGTATAATAATACTTAATTGATTGAATATTTCAAAATTTAAATATTCCTATATATTAAGGTAGCTTTGTTTAGGTTGCAAAAAGAAGCTCAATTTGAATTTCTAAGAAATAGAACTTTCAATGAACAATACTTGCATCTAATATGATGATGATCATTTATGAATATTCTTTATCAGATGAAATTTCCAAACAAACAAATCACTAGTGAATAATATAAATGAAATATCCGGGAAATATTAGGATAAATTAGGATTGATATTAGGATATTAGGATAATTATATAATGCTAAAAAAAGATTTCAAAAACAATTCAATAGATTTTATAATTAATGAAATAAATTTATGCAAACATTTTAGCAATTAATAATAATTAATGATGAGAGAAAAATATTATGAAATTTGAAAAATTAATGAATTTCATATTCAATCCTTTGAATTCTTTCATTTGCCAGCCTTTGATATGAAATTTCTATAAGAATCTTTTTATCAGAGAAGTAAATAAATTTAAAAAGAAATTAATAAAAATCAGTGAAAAATAAACAATCTTTCTTCTGTTGATAACAATGATAACAATTTATTCCGTTCAGATCGGATAAAAAGTGATAAGCCTGTTGATAAGCCTGAATGCGAGAAACGAATGAATAAATAAATTTGATATAGTATTGTTGGAGGAATAGTTTGAGTTAAATGATAGAGATATGTGAAATTTACCGCTGTTACATTTAATTTCAAATTCAACTAATCCATCAAAATTATCATAAAAGAATGAAAAAGCTAAACAATTGATTTATTTAATTGCTATCAAAAATACAGTATCCGTCTAATTTTATATGCCATTATCATTTTAAATTTAAACCTTAAATGCAATAAAAGATAAACAATTTATTATCACTTGGGGATAATATTTAATAATTATCTTTTCCAGGTTATTGTTTTCTAATATATTGATAAGAAGATATTGAATGATAAATTAAATGATAAGGCATATGCAATGATGATTCTAATAGTAATAATTGTATTGATAAAGATGATAAAAATAATCACTTATCAAATCGCAAGTGATAATCATTCTTGCAGAATCAATGCATCTATTGTTTATTCATAAATCATATCATCTGATGTTTTATTTTGATTGCTTGCTGTTTTCCTTTCTTTATCTGAATGGATAATTTATTTTACATATATTTCAGCTTTCTTCTCAAATCATAAACGATTTATGCTTTTACTGTTTGTGTTTTTATTCGTTATTTATTATTATTATTATTATTATTATTATTATTATTATTATTATTATTATTATTATTGTTATTATTATTATTATTATCATTGTTATTATTACTATTACTATTATTATTATTACTA